AGCTACTGTTGTTCAGTAGGCCGCTGAGTGGCGCTAATACAAGGCAGAAGAGTAATGGTGACAATGAATCTCCTTGGAAGATTACGCTTTTGATGTTGTTTGGTTTCGATGTTAATGACCCGTTTATATGCTTTTGATTTAGAGTAGTTTCTAGTTTTTCATGCTCTCTGTTATGGATTTGACCGTTGTATGGCATATTATTATTATTATTATTATTATTATTATTGTTGTTGTTGTTGTTGTTGTTGTATTTTTTTATTTCCTTTTGTTACTGGTGTATACTCTTTTATTTCCGAGTCCCGACCATAGACCTAAGGTATCATGAGATTTTACGCTGAGCAGTTTTGAAAAAAGAATCGTACATATTCTACATAGATAAAGCCATTTGTAAAGTGTTTTTTTTGTATTTCTGCAAGGTATGGGCTATCAGGAATCCCTTCATTGCGTCTTTTGAAATCTTTCCAACCAATCCGAAGGGCTCCAACTACAAGTGGAAGACTTAATGTCTTCATTTTTAAGATTTTTTGTACTTTGAAAGTTTTTTGAAAATCTTCAAAGATACATTGCAGTCTACAGGGATTGCCATGTTAATAAGGAGGCACATTTTGTGTTTGCGATCTCTAATTACGATGTCAGGGCGATTAGCTTTGATTGTTTTGTCTGTGTGCATTGTAATGTCCCATAAAATTGTTACAAGTCCTATCTTCTTAACCAAACCTAGGTGGTGTTCATATCAATTTCTTGCAGTTTCATTTCCGTAACTCTGTCGTACCGTGTTTTATATTCAGTAGGTGCCAATATTGCGCAACCTGATACAAGATATTTATCACAGAATCTGCATTTTGGACTAACAGAGTTTTTTTCTAATGTGTGCTTGGTAATTTCTACTTAGCAAGAATTGGTCCTGTGGAGCAAGAACATAATCTTCAGTTTCAACTTTTAACCCTACACTACGTAGCCTCTGATGGGTACGGGTTTTGTCTACATCAGCTTGTTTGGTACGGGCAGAATATTGAACGTGAAGTGGTTTATCTTACCATCGTTTCTTTGCCTTGTCTGATGCGTTTGCCTTTGCTGTTTTTTTTATATATTTTTCAGCTTTGGTGTATTCTGCTTTACATGTATTTCTTCACCCACTTGAAATTCCATTTTGAACTTGTTGGCTTCTTTATTACTGAAGAATATCGCTTAGTACTTTTATTTTCTGTAACACAGATCATCATCCAGTCTTCTGTAATTTTCAGAGATCTTTGAAGGCCAATTGTTGTAGTTTTGTAAGACAGTTCTAGTTGAACTAATCCTCTGCCTCTTTTAGATCTGGGCACATACAAACGATCAACATCAGCCTTGGGGTGATGCATGCAGTGGCAGGTGGGAAGCTTTCTCGTTTTGGCGTCCATTGGCTTAATGTTAGCTATAGTTCAGTTAAGAATGTTGAAAGTCAAGGTGTTTATGGCTGATAATCTGTCTTTTAAATTTAGCCAAGTATTCAGTACCAGACGCACTCAACCTAAGTACTCTTTTCTTATCTTTTCCATCATTTATTGTTAATATTTCCTTTGATTTCTGGTGTGTACACATTTCTTTCCGGGACTCGCCCGGTGACCTAAGGTCAGAAGTTGCATCATGGCAT